AAATGTGTAAAATATATTTTTGAAGCACTGAATGCTAAAATGTACCATGAATATGAAGCTACATACAGATGTTCATACAGCTGCTTGGAAACAGCCATGAACTACATTCCTCATCACACCACTTTCTCTTTTTTGTGCCCTCCGTCGAGGCCAAATGAGCTTCTAATGAAGTGGATTTGCTGCCTGGCCTTTCCACTGGCTCACAGCCTGCACCTCATTCAGATGTGGATGCACAACACCTGCATCTTCTGAACCTCTGACAGAGACAGAAAACAGACAATTATCCACAACAACAAGAATTTATATTCAGAAAACCACACATAAAATGGTTTCCTGAGCTTCGTGCACATGTTTTGTTACTTACAGTACATGATATCTATGTTCTACTGTATGTGGAAGCACTGATCATATTTACCAATGAGGGGGGTGGGGGGGGGTGATTTAAACCAGCAAATAAGTGTGTAGGTGATATTTCCACTCTGAATCAAAGGCAAAGGTTGCCACTGGGAGCCATAGAACTGCTCAGTGGGGAGAGATTGGCCAGGGCAGCAGGAACTTTATTTTATGGTTAAGTTCAGCCTTTCCTCTGTTTTAGTGTTTATCATGATTTGTTACTATTGTAGGACTGAAATTATGCAGCTCGGAGTCAGTCACTGACCTTGAATGGAGGGGCCTGACCCACTGCCTGTAGAATTCCCCTCATAAACAAGGAGGGAGCTTGTCTATGAGGTTGTTCGCAGTCCATCCATCGATGTTATGTGTGACTGAGGGAAAGGGAACGGTGATGGGGCCTTCCCCTCATGCCGCCCAGTCCAGACCCCACAGAGTGACCCCAGATCAGATCACATGCAACTGCTGGGGACAGGGCAGAATATCACGCACACAATTCCTCCAAATGTACTAATGGGGAAGAAAGACGAGTGAAGCCTTATTTATGTAGGACATTTAATTAAATGGAAACTCATTTAATTTCATGACCTGCTCTAAGGCTGTTCTTTGTACAGAGGAAGAGAGGAAAGGCCTGAATCAGATCGGTTTGTGACATAAACCAAAATAAATTTATGAGGTGGACGTTAAAAAGCAAAATTTAAGCAGAAAAGTGAGGACAGCGTAGATGCAATATTGTGAGAAGAAAATACTGTTTCTAATTTGAACAAATCTATTCTGAAAAAACCCACAAACTCATTTCATGTGTTTGAAGATGTACATTCTGACGGAGGTTAACTTGTGGGATTAATTGGTTTGTCATGGATGGAGAACAGGCAGGAAGCTGCTTTGATACTTGGCAATTAAAATTTATAGTAATATTGTCAGGAACATTTGATTTTATTGTTATACATCTATATATATAGATGGAATAAATTGAATTTCTATAAATTTCAAGGTCAACTTGCATATTGGGTTTGTGCTATTTGAACCTAGTTCCCCAATAGATTCTCTTCTGTTTTCTCATTTTCTTTAAATCCCTTCAGGGTGATTTTAGTCACAAGCTGTTTGTGACTGATCCGGCTGCTTCCCATATGTCCTGATGGATGTTACCTGCCTCCCTTTAGGGCTGCATTCAATAAACTTCATCAGTCCTTTGCAGTGTCAGTGGTGGCCAAGTGACCACATGTTACATCCATTTTCAGCTGAAGATAAGATTATCCCTAACCAGACTAGAAACTCTACTAGCCAGGAGTCAATAATAAAAATAAAACACAATATAGTTTCTGATTACACACTTCCTGTGTGGAAAAAAGTGGCAGCATTAGTGGAGATCCTGTATGATGCATAGTCCACCCGGGTCAATACTGATGGAGCTATAGATTCAAAGGGCAATAATAATGTTCTTTAGTTCCTGAACATTTCATCTCCCCCACCAACCCCTTGTCTTACACACACACACACACACACATATACAGGGGCACAGGAGAACGGGGAGTGCTGTCCATTAGTGGTTCACAAGAGACAGGCCTTCTGCTCAACACATAATGTTTCTGCAGCAGAGGGAAACTCCCCTTAGGAAAACTGAAGGAGAAATAATTCTCCTGCTCTTCACAGATCATTACATCATGGTTCCCACTCACAGGGTTGGATTGCTTTTAGATTTTTTAGTGTTTTTTTGTTGTTACTGTCAATGGATATTTCACTTTAGGACAGTTAACGATCATGAGGCACTCTGTCAGAATGGTTGTGTGGTGCTGTGTGTGAAAAATGTGGGGATCAACATCCTTAATAATGAGTTTTGAGCTCAGTCCAGAAACAACATGACACAGGATCTTCAGCTTCCTGTAATGATAGCAGCGAAGAGCTCCCATGGTTCCACATCCACTCAGGCTTTGAAGGCTACATTAGCTATCCAAATGGAAAGAACCCTCAAACTTGGACAGTGAAGAGAGGAAAGGAAAAAGATACAACAGAGCCCCAAAGCTCCATCTGCATAGTAACCACATGGTGCCTCTGTGTTCTCCTTCATAAGAGACTGGAGGAGCTGGGCATGGTAAAGTCTGTGAATTCAGACAGTCACGGTCAAATCCAAATCTGTTTTATGAACTTTTTCAAAAACATTTACAAAATAAGTACAATTTTCTAATTGAAATCATAAAATTAAAAAGAGAAATATAAGCCAAAATCAAATCCTTAGTGTTCAAAAACATCTTGTGTCAAATAATAAATAAACAACCACTGGTCTGTCTTATATTCTAAAAGGATAGAATTGCACAAAGACTTGAAAAACTGATCCAAACCTCACTTTATATGAATCATCATCATCATCATCATCATCATAGTGCTTGCAGAATTTGAAGGCCACATCAGCCCAGTAATCATAATTATGTATCACTGAAGCTCCTTATCTCTTATGCATAGTGGAAAGTCCACATTGCTTGTTATAGGCCACCCTCTGAATTACATCCTCATAAAGCCATAAATAAGTGAGAGTTTGTTATTCCATTGAGCAAATAAGATGTCAAGTCTTTTCCACAGCGACACACAAATGAATAAAACAGTGAAATGGCTCAGACTCAGCCTTTCTCCATGGAAACTGTGTTCAATATTGTCATGACAACCTCCAACAGAGGAGAAAAAAATAAAACAAGGAATGAGGGGTAACAATGAGAGGGAGTAATCAAGGATAACAGGACAAGCCCTGACAGACTGTTTCTCTCAACTTCCAGCTCTGACTCTTTCTCCTCTGCCCAAGCTCATCTTGTTTCATGAATCACAGCCCCGCAAATCCATCTGTCATCTTTCCTGAGCGGGTGACACTGCTTCACTAATGGAGTTATTCAGGTACGGAAAACTATCAGCTGCTAGCATGATGGCTGCTTTGTGCTGATAGAGTCATCAAAATATGGCATTCAACCAAATCAAAGGCTCCAGCTGGGCAATTATCGCTTCTGAGCACGGAGACGTACACAAGTTTAAAGGGGACAGTTAAGCCGCTATTTCCCTGTGGAGTCAGAGATAATTTGTGTTGTGTTATGTCTATATACTAAGCTGCAAAATGTGTAATTCATCAATCCATCACCAACCATCATATGCACAAATGTATTGAAGGCTAGTGCTTCACCTAAAATCAAGGAATGATAATGTGAAGAAATACCAGAAGTGATCCAAAATCAGGCTGTGTTCTTCTAGCAGCAACTTTAATTAAGGCGCCATTAGCACAGACATATTGCAAAGAGTGAAATAACAATTTTTGATTCATTTTACACTCAAAACAAACAAACGCTACACCTGTATAGTTTAATGCAAAATCAACTGCTCATCTTGGGAAACTTGTTCTAAAAGCAATGATGTGACAGGTTGACAACTACAAACATACTGTAAGACCTTAAGATGCCCCAAATGACAACAAAAGCAACAAACTAAGCATACAACACAGCACACAGCTCATGCAAATCAACAGGAAGCAGCAAAACATCAATGCAGCAATACAGTAACAGATATTCAGCTCATTTAGCTATACAAAGCAGGACACATATAAAAGGACAATGCTGTTATTAACCGCTTTAAGAACTGAGAACAGTTTTCACCCAAAACTACTTTCTACTATTACTACTCTACTTTCTGAAGGAGTAATAAGTTATTAGTTAAGATGGGTTCAAGTATCTGGAAACAGTACTGTGAGCACCGTCCATTCACTGCTACTGGGTTGGAGTGGAGTCTAAGAGATTATAATTCAAGACCTGGGGAAACAAATCTACAGCTGTCTGCATGACATGATTTCAATCTAGTCAGTGTTGAGTGATATCGCAGGTACAGATGTGATGCTTGCACACAACTCTAATTTGTGAAGATGAGCTGAATATTTTTCTGTGCATTTGCATCTTTCCTCCAGCTAACAGTTTATACCAGTACAGCCAAATACTGTATTTGAGAAACATAAAAAGAGCATCTGCCTCTGCTTCTGTCTGACCAGTCTCTCAGTCCAAATTTAGCTTCGGTAAAACACTGTGGCTGCTTTTGTGTGAACACATGGCATCTCCTTTCATATTCATGTAGCCTTGATGTCTGAGATTCATCCATGACATCTTGCCTCCAAACCCTTTGTTCCCACGGTGCACAACACAATACATCATTGAACATCAATATGTTCCTCATGGGCAACAACAGTAATGATGGTCACTCTGAGCTGAGTTGAGTGTGTATATGTGTAGGCTTGTGAAAGACAGAGGGGGAAGAGGGGGAGGGAGCCAAGAGGTAATTAGTGTTGCCTGTCATTCCAAATCTCCATGGAGATGTGTTCTGTATGTCATCTACACCTTCACTGCGTTATCATGGACGCACAGCTGTGACTGCCACTACACCATTTAGCAAGCAGGAGATCAACCAGACTCCATTAGTTTCAGTACAGTAAAGTAACCGGCACAGTAGCAGCGCTGTAAAACTGCCAGCTGTCGGTTAATGGTAAAAAAAAATGCAGATTCAATAACTCGAGCTATGAATGAAAATACAGTAGTAAGCATATGTACATAAACAACAAGCCTTCATCTTCAACACCAGGAGGGGGAAATGGATTTTATTTGTATTTCTGCAGAGAAGATACAACATCACACACACTCGCACACACACAAACATCTGATAGTTTGACTGGGTTAAAATCCATCACAGTCACCTGTACAGTCCATAACAAGGAGACATGTGCTTCTCCATCATATTTGACTATATACAACAAGGATACAGGAAATGAGGCTAGAAAGGTGAATTATCAAAATAATAATCTTTCAATATTGGTCAACAGTTACAATATTTCATGGTGCATAAGAATATACAGAGAAGGAATGAGCCATAATATTGTACTGTGCTACATACCTACAACTGTGCTTATACATAATTACAGACCTCTGGGTCAGCATAGAAACAGCATCTAATGAAGATGAAATTAACTTTCCCTTTGTTTATTAAACATTAAGGCCACTATGGTAGACCATGAGGAGTCACAAGTGAGAGAAACCACACTCCTCGTGCTTCTCTCTCTGTGGAAACGTAACAGGGTTTCTACAGATCCGACACAACCAGACGTGTGAAGGAAGTAATCTAATTACATTACTGCACACATTTAAGCTCCATTACTCAACACCAGGCACAAGTCGAACTGATGGCATTGTACTGTATAGCTTTGTTTTTACTAGCAATGGTACTGAAAATCTACCATGTAATCTAATAAAGTCTACATTTGGTCCTGACTCAACCAGTAATGATGCATCAACTGTACACAGTGAATGTAATAGACAGAAAATACTGCTCCATTGATTTTTTTTTTCCTTTTGTTAAACTTTCTTCTTGTATAAGGATTTATAAACAATGTACTGCCCGAGCAGCATTCATGCCACGTTGTGTCTTGACAAAATATTTGCATGCTGTCCTTGTCATCAGTGGCACAACAGAAAGCAGAGAATGGATCATCGATAAAGAACTCTAGGTCTGTTTTGTTGAGAACTGAACAAATGATTTCAAGTTTTCATCTAATCCCATTTCACAGTAACAGTTTTGCTATACAAACTCATATTCACATGTTTGTGTGTTCTTACTAAACAGTTAACAACATTTATGGACATAAGACATGAATCCAAATGACAAAGTTTTATGTTTTTGAACTCCAAAAAGAGTTCAAACTGTTTCTGCACATATTACTGCAAACATGAAATGAGAAACCAGTAATAAATGCAATATCTTATGAGCAAACAGGTGGTTGCCACATGGTTAAAACAGAAGTAATTAAGATTAAAGCCCCTCAAAACAATGATAAATATTCATGACTGAATAAACTATAACAAATAAGTTTGAAGACATTGTATTAAGAGTTTAAAACCCCCAAAAAAGCAGCTGTGTGTGTTTTGATCAGATTGAAAAACATACTGCTCAGTCCTGATTGGTGCATGGAAATATGTGGTATCATATTTTCCCACTGGCGCCACATCCACCTCTGGATCTGGCACATGGTGGCCCAATAATGGATTAACCTTGCATTTGTCACCTGTCGCCAATCAAAGCCATCAAATCAGCTGAAATACACACCTTTTTATATCATCAAACAACTTATTGAAAAGAAACATACCAAAAAAGAACACTTGTACACACATCAGTGTGATAATATCTATCAAAAACCACATGACCTCTGAAAAAAATGTATTTGATTTGTACTTTGAGTTTTTGCTTATATCCCATCTGCTAAACATAGAGGAGGCAGGACTTATGACTTACACTGCAAGCAACCACCAGGGGGCGACCAATTTGTGGTGGCTTCACTTTTGGGAGCTCTTGCCTGTCCATTGTTTTTACAGTCAGGGGTCATAACACAAAACTAATTGAGAAAATATGATAAGAATATTATTAGCCAGTGTCTTACATACAGTACATCACATAGCTCGATCATGCAAAACATGCACAATGCTTTGTAACATGTAAATGAGTGTAAATATGGTAAAACTGCTATGCAAATGATTTTCTACCACAGGATGTTAAAAGTATGACTGATACAAAAATAAGATCTTGTCCTGAATAAAAAGAATCCTGCCTGTAGTTCATTCAAAAAGGAAAAGAAAGCAGGGACCCACACTGACGCTCTGCACAGCATGTACTCCAGGCAAGTTCATGCTGTTTCTCCTCTTCGTAGCCAATCAACATCAGGTCAGAGTGGTGACCTCCGGCTGAGCGTACGTTCCAGCAGCAGCGAGGATGTCTTTACAGCTCTCTGTTAGGATACACAAAAGGCAGAATTACAATGAAACAATGGTGACTTATGATAATAACACAATGGACCTGGAACATAGAGCTGGATGTAGTGTAATGAATGATCTCTGTTGAACAAAGAGATAACCCTGTTCAGGCTGTGAAACAGTTACAGCAGGGCTATAACTTATTTTAATTAATAGTCAGCCCTTTGTTTTTTCTTAAGCAATTGTAATTTTTATCTATAAATATAAAAATAGTAAAACATGCTCATCACAAGTTTCTATGATGATGCTTGACCAACCCAAATATACTCAATTTACAATCAAAGTTGAGTACGTTTGGCATCTTTACTTGATAAATTACTTCCACTAAGTAATTCATTAGTTCATAAAACTGCTATTGATTGACTAATGAATTAATCAACATAAAATTTCAGCTGTACTCCAGAGAGAAATCCTACTGTACAGTACAAATCTGAACTTCAGAGGTCAGCACGAGACTTTACTTTGACCACCCATGTTGTTAAAGGAAACCTATAGTTGAAATCACCCACAGGAGCCACTTGGGAATATGAAGGTTCATCTGAGGCTTTTCTCTGCTCCTCTGTACAGCTGCCTGCTGCTTCCTCTTAGCAGCACTTAAGCAGTTTGCCAGACTATTATGCACTCATCATAGAAAACAAGCTGACGGTTGTCACACTGCAGCGAGAACATGCTTTCAACCTGGACAGTGTTTGCTTTTGCATGTATAAATGATGACAGCAAGTGCTAACCCTGTCACTGACTCCCTAAGATGACCTAAATCACTTCAAGTCCATCAACATGATGTTTCAATTGCAGAGCGAGTGACCATTTCCTGTCACTGATATCCATCTGAGCATCTTCAGACCTACTGCATCCATTTGTTCTTTTCTCTGTTTCCTGCTCTGGTGAAATATCATCCATACCTTATATCCAATAATCCTTGAATCAACCTGACACCGTTCCCCATGGGCATAACTCTGAGGAGCAGAGCCACTGTGCCATCATTTATTTCCATCTAACTCAAAATGGCTGCAAATAGAAAGGCAACCTTCTGCATGTCAGACAAAAACAAGGGGTTTTATTTTTCAAATTCAGACACAACAGTGTGTAACACTGGTGGGAAACAGTGATGATCTACTTGAATCTTTTTTGCAGGTAATGTGTACTTAAATGCTTTGTATGTGTGATATCCCCCTGTAATAGGCTGGGATATCATTATCTCTGTACTCACCAGAAACAGAGCTCAAGATTAAATTATCCCCTCCTCTCTCTCTCTAAGATTAGTTTTGAGGCGGTCTGGCTTTGCTCAGCTTTCCAGTGTTTTTGTTTCTCCAATCATAGTGATCTCATGAGCTGAACATATCATTTAGTACATATATTATAGAACTCAGCATGAAAGCAGGTTATATGACTGTGTTTTCATCTCATGTGACAACATACCATTAACCTACATCAATCCACAGCACTCACCACAGGAAGGCATTGACAAGGCATTCAGGAAACCCATTCAGATACACTGTAGTTGTAATAGGCTCAAAAAAAGTGAGGGTATACACTCTCATAGGAGCCAGGCTACAGTAGATGGCCCATTTTATGTGTGGTTTTCTCTTCCTTGACAGTGATGTGCCAATGAGCTCTTGTAAAAATGCATCTCTGTGAAGAGTAGCTTCACGGGAAAACACTTTCAGTGTTGCTGGGCTGTTTGCCGGATGTTGACTGGGTGGGACGTGCACTCAGGATGTCAGGATAAATACAGATCCTTTTCACATGGCAGGTTTTTGGGCTCAGATGTGAGGTCCAGCAGCCATTCAAGCAGAGACACATGAAAGTGGGAATTGGAGGAGCATCACTGTCTTCTTTGTACATGTGGTATCTGTTTCAGACAACTGCTTAAAATTGTCATTATTACAGAATATTAGTGCTGCATGTTAAAACGCATGGTTTAAATTTGTAAAAGCTACAAACATTAAAGTCCCGATGGCCTGCAGAGCCAAAATGAATTTAAACCACAGTTAAGTTACCATGTATGATGCTTGTTAGTACTATGTGCAACACTACAGCCTGTAAATGTGAATATTCAGGTGACATGTATGTAACCTACCAGCATGGACGCTGAGGTCTCCAGAAGTTAGGAGGTAACAGGCTGCCTCTTTTTTTGTCTTGTCTTGCCCTCGGGTGCACCGTAGAGACCACTTTTCATTGGGGGACAGTGGCTGGGTCAGGCTGCAGCCTTCCTCCTCTGAAAGGGCCACATTTGCATCACCGTTTGGCTTGGAATCTGACAGGAAGACAATACCACATGGCAATGTAAATGTCAAAGCTTTTACTGAGGCTCCCTTGAGGGCCCACACAAAGGGAGACCTATATCTCATAAAATCCATATGCGATCAAATCCAATTCAACTGAGATGTTATAAGAAATCATTTGATCCTGGTGTTTTATTGTCTTTACGACTAAGCACAGTTCATCTGTCAGGCAAAGCCTTATAAGCCTAAACAAACTGCAGGTGTTTATGTTACTATTAAGCACAAGTCCAGTCAAATATTTACTGTATAAGTAAACAGTTCTAAAGGATGAATAATCTCATTAAATAAAGTGCTTTAATAAAAAAACTGAATTAAAAACCTAACTATCAAATACAATAACTAGTAATATCATGTTAAAAGGTGAGCTCACCCAAGTTGAAAAAAATGATGGTACTTGTGATGGTATTTGGCCATGCAGATAGCATTGGTTTCATTTGTCCAGATGTTTTAAAGATTTCTGCCTTAATACAATGGAGGTGAATACATTTTTTCTTTTTTCTATTCCATCAGCAGCAGAAAAGAGAGTTCAAACCTGAACAGATAAGACCAAAACTATCTGCATGACTAGATGCCACAAAAGGTAAGTTAGAAAATGTGTTTCGTTAATTTGGAAGAACTGACCCTTTAATATTTCATTGCAGAGCGGTGCCTGCTGACATGTGTCACTCTGTGTGCTGTCTCTGTGTGAGTTTGTTTCTGACTTCCCAAATGAGGCCGAGTCAGTCGGAGCATCTGGATACCGGTTGTGCTTCTTCTTCTTTTTTGGCAGTTTCTGTTTGGCCATAGCCAGTGAGTAGTACATCCCAAAGTTATTGACAATGACTGGGACTGGCATGGCGATTGTTAGCACCCCAGCCAGTGCACAAAGCGCCCCCACCATCATGCCCAGCCACGTCTGTGGATACATATCTCCATAGCCCAGTGTTGTCATGGTGACCACTGCCCACCAGAAGCTGATAGGGATGTTCTTAAAGTGTGTGTGATTGAAACCTGTTGGGTCATTGGGCTTGGCTCCAACGCGCTCAGCGTAGTAAATCATGGTGGCAAAGATAAGTACACCCAGTGCTAAGAAGATGATGAGCAGGAGGAATTCATTGACACTGGCTTTCAGCGTGTGGCCCAGCACACGCAGGCCTACAAAGTGTCGTGTCAGCTTGAAGATCCGAAGGATCCGAACAAACCGCACCACTCGGAGGAAGCCCAGCACATCGCTGGCAGCTTTGGATGACAGGCCGCTGAGGCCCATCTCTAGGTAGAATGGCAGAATGGCCACAAAGTCGATGATGTTGAGTGTGTTCCTGACGAACACCACCTTGTCTGGGCAGCAGATGATTCGCACCAGGAATTCAAACGTGAACCAGATCACACAGATCCCCTCCACCAGTGTCAGGATGGGCTTGGTCACCATCTCTGTCCTCGTCACTTCCCGTGTGACATTGCCCTCAACAACTGTCTCTGTCCGGTTCTGCAGTTCGTTGAAGGCCTGATGGGTCTCGAGGCAGAAAGTGGTGATGGACACCAGGATGAATAATAGAGAGGCGAATGCAACTCCCTGGACAAGACAGATTAATCATCATTAATCAGCACAATGTTACAGCTTTGCTGCAACATCCTTTCAGTTTTTCAGACAAGACCATATACAGTATACAGTAATTATATGTTACTGTATGACCAATAAAAAGACATGGATGTTTCAGTCAAGTCTGTAAAGTGACATGTTTTGAGGGATTGCTTTCCAGCAGAGGCAGTAAATATCAGATGATTGACAGTAAGCAAAAACTAGAATAATGAACACATTGATATGAAACTACTTAACTCAGGCACAATGAGATATAAAACACAAACTCTGACAACATCAAAGAAAGGGTGTAAGTTACTGTGAAGATCAGTGTGATGTTCTGTAAAGTTCATTTTAAATGTTTCATCTGGGTATACCATGGACAGGCTGCCAGTCTATGACTGGGTTGACATGTAGACCAACAACAACACACACTCATACTCACTCCTGGGGGCAATTTAGTCGTCAGTCTACCCCTGCTGCATGTCTTTGAACTGTGGGAGGAAGCCAGAATACCCGGAGAGAACCCACACAGGCACAGGGAGAACATGAAACTCCACACAGAAAGGCCTCGGGTCGGCCAGGGTATGAACCCGGAACATTCTTGCTGTGAGGCGACAGCGCTAATCACTCAACTCAGTGTTTAAAAAGAAAATATTCCTTGAACTGAATGTAAATTACAGCCATCCTGTATCTCCTGAAATGGTTCTTCAGGCAGTTAGACAATGTATTATTTTTTGTCAATACAGATTTGTTAAATCCTAACAAGCACACAGGAACTGAGGAGTTTATTAACACAATATATAGATGTAGTTTATACCCAAAAATTACAAAACCAAGTAGAGTAACAACCCAGCATGCAACATTAATCGATAATATATGTTATGGATAGTAAAATGACAAGTGGATTACTCATAAATGATATTAGTGATCATCTACCAATATTTGTGGTTTATGAGGGCCAGTATAGAGAAGAGAGGCCAAAAACAAATTTTTTTTCTATAGGAGGGTGATGAATGAACATGCTGTAAGGAGGCTAAAAGAGGATGTTATGGGGCAAAACTGGGAATCAGTTTACAAAGAGGAAGACTTAGATAAAGCATATGAGCAATTTTTAAATATATTTAAGAAAGTATATGACAGGAACTGTCCTCGTAAGCAGTATAAAAACAAAAGGAATTACAGTGGGAAACCGTGGA